CCTCCCCGTCCCGTGTGCGCTTCGAGGATGAGTCTGCCCGCGACGCCGAGGTGCGGTACCTGGAGCGGCTGCAGCTGCGGCACCGGCGGGCGCTGGGCTCGGCGCTCTCCTCACCGGAGCCGGCCGGCGGCAGGGAGCCAGGGGACGGCTCCGGACAGCCCAAAGCCTGGAGCAGTGACCTCGCCGCTGGGGGCAAGTGCAGCGCCTGTGGCTCCGTCATCAGAGCGGCCGCCACTCGCGGCACGGAGATGCCAGCGGCCACCAACAAGGCTGAAAGTAGCCCTGCAGCACGAGGAAGCACCCCAGGGGATAGCGGGGGACTGAACGCTGCCCAGCCGGAGCCCAGAACCAGGGCTCTGGGGCCCCGGGGGTCACCACTGTGGATTCTCCCTTCCCGGCAGCGCATCCACACCGAGAAGATCAAGGAGACCTATATCGGGGATGTCACTTACATCGACGAGGTGGACTCAGCTCTGGAGAGCACAGATACCTCTGATGGCTGCCGGACGGATAGCGAGGAGGCAGGACCCCGCAGCCCCCACCTGCGGGGGCACCGGGGCCCCCATGCTTGTGGGCACAGGACCCCCTGTGCCACCCCACAGCCGGAGGCGAGGACTGAGAAGGGGAGGTGTGCAGCCAGTGGTGGTCCCTGCGCAGGGGGTGGCTCTTCAAGTGGTGCCACAAGCCAGACAGGGGCTGTTTGCCCCCTGCCGCTGGGGAGATCCGGCAGCCAGGAGGACAGGGTCCCCTATTGTCACCTGGGGAGCAGCAATGGGATGGGAGACACTGCTCACACCCTGCAGCAGCCCAGCAAGCCCCTGGAGCCCTCCTCACAGCCAGGGGCTGGCACCACTGTGCCAGGCAGCCATGTCCCCAGTCCCCCTCACACCAAGAAGGCCTGCTCCCAGGTGCCTTGCAGGAAAGCCATCTTCTCCGGTGGCCTACGCCGAGCATCGAGCCAAGGAGCCCGGGGCCCGGAGCCTGATGCTGGAAGCACTGCGTCCGCCCAGCCTGGAGGCACCGTGGGGCCAGGGGAGCGTCGGGGTTCCTGCAGCCCCAGGTGGCTCCCGGGGAGCCCCCTCCGTGCCTTGTCCACCAACAACTGCAACAACACCCGTGGGCAGGACCCTCTGGAGACAGGCAGAGGTAAGAGACCCACACACGGGGATGGCTGGGGGGGGCTCTGATGAAGCAGGGATGTGATTGGCTTGCTGTGGTTGCAGGGGCACCGTCGCATCCCGCTGTCAGCCCCATCACCCCTGTGCCCCAGGAGGCTTCTCATTCCCTTGGGGAAGCAGCCGGGAAGCTGGGAGCGCAGCAGCAGTGCCCGGGCAGGAGCGCAGCACATGGGTGAGTGAGAGCGAGGGGCTGCTCACAGCCTGCACTGCACGGTGGGTGCTGCATCCCTGAGCATCCCCCCTTGGCACAGCAAGGTGCTGCTAGGCTGAGCTCCCAAAGGCTTCCGGGTGGGACGGACCAAAACCCTCCCAGAAACCACAATGTGAGGTGACAGTTTTGCATGTGTGTTCAGATGGGTTTGTGGGAGCTGTGTTTCACCCTGAATCTGGTTCCACCAGGGGTGTTGCAGCAGCTGGATGTGACTTGTGGGCAAACGTGGGTGACCTTGGAGGTGTTTAGCCCAGTTCCAGGTGCTTCCCTTTTGGGGAAAATTGGCTGCTAAATGCTGCCACCCCCGGGCTGCCTTGGGGCTCACTAAACATCATCCTGCTGGACTCAGCCTGGCAGTAGGGTTTGGAGGCAGCGCTTGGTCCTTCAAGCCCCTTGGCAGGATGCATTCCCTTCAGGCAGAGACTAGGGGAGTTAATGGTGTTAAACCGCTGAAACTGTGGGGAAGATGTTAGCAGCCCTTCAGGTCTCTGGCCGGTGAACCCTGCCCTGTGCAAGCTGAGTTACTGCTGCAGGGAGGAGGCAGCACCCCAGTCTCACCATGGTGCCGCTCTCAAGGCTGCAGTGGCGGGTGCAGGATGTGCCCCCAGCCCTGAGATAGCTGCTGGCCCTGCTCCCCCGTGTACAGGGTGGATGACAGTGACCCCTCTCCATCCAGGGAGCCGGGGCAGCCAGTGAGCCGCAAGGGGAGCAGCACTTCGGTATCAGGGCTCAAGAAGCTCCTGTGCAGCCTGAGCCAGAGCACGAAGCAGCGCCTGGGCCGCTTCCGCTGCTACAGCATGGAGCAGCTCCCGGCCCCCGGCAGCGCCGCCCCAGATGGGCCCAGCATGAAGAAGTCGCCCTCCCTGCAGTCCCTGCAGCTGGTGAGCTTGAAACATCAGCCCCTGGCGGGGGTGTCTGCAGGGAGCCGAAGGGTCCCACAGGAGGATAGGTGCTGGGCTGGGCTGGGCTGAAGCATTCCTGAGCCATAGCTTTATGGTCCCACAGGAAGAATTGGGGGGGGGGGGGGGGGGTGGGGGCATGGTCCATCCCAAACTTGGGAGTTTGAAAAGCCTGGAGCCAAATGGGGAATGGAAGGCGGAAGGAAGGAGCAAGGGAGGGTGGAAAAGCAGCTTTGGGGAAGGGAGATAGGGTAACTTGGTTTAGGGTCATGGCCACAGTGAGATGCCTCCTCAAGAAGCATCAGGGGGTTGTCCTGCCCAGGGAGGGGGATGTTGGCTTATCTCTCCTCAGCATGGATGCAGGGGGCGGGGGGAAAGGTGTAAGAAGGATGCCCTGATGTCCCCTGCTCCCTCAGCATGATAGTGCATGATGGGCTGCGATGCTGCACGGCTTTGCTGTCCCCATCTCAATCAGGTGCTTTTCTCCAGGTGTCACCCTTCCATCAGCCCCAAAAAGCCGCCTCTGTCCAGAGCCTGCACCCGCTCCTGGGCAAGGCACCCCGTGCCAGTGCCTACCTCCTGCCGCAGAGCACGGCTGACAGGTAGGATGGGGCCCTGCACATCCGGGGTGCTCACACACATGCAGTGGCTCGGTGCAGCCAGGGACCCCCAATCACCCCCATCTCCCCTCTCCCTGCAGGAAGGGGGGCTCAGGGCCACGGCGCTCACTGAGCGTGGAGGACATTGGGGTGCCCGGCCGGCTGCGTGCAGTGGGGCGTGTGGTGGAGGTCTACCCTGATGGCACCAGCCAGCTCGAGCTGCAGCGACCCCCCCAGGGCGCCTTCGGGTTCTGTGTCACCTCTGGGCATGGCCGGCCTGACAAAGGTACAGTGGGGTCACCCCAAAGCTTCACCCAAACCCTAGGGGAGGCCTGGCATGGCCCCTCCACAGTGGCTCTTCTCCCTTCACAGGAGCAAGCTCGGGGACAGGTAGAAAGGGCTGCTCTATCCCTGCTGAGCCCCAAAGGGGTGATGGTGGAGGGGAGGGGAATACAGCCACATGTGTGGCTTTGTGCACACACAGTCCCACACATCCATCAGCCCTTGGCTTGGGGGACACAGCCTGTCCCAAAAGCCATTTACAGTATTCATGACTGGGCAGCCCTGGGCACCCTCATGGGGCACAGCTCCAGCCACGGGGTGCAGGGTGGGGGCTCACCTGTCCCGTCCCTCTCCATAGGTGTCTACGTGCAGGAGATGGTGGACGCCAGCACGGCCAAGCTGTACGCGGGGCTCCTGGGTGTGGGGGACGAGATCCTGCAGGTCAATGGGGCAGCCGTTTCAGGGCTGGGGCTGGCCCGCATCCGTGAGCTGCTGCTCCAGGCGGACACGCTGTCGCTCCGTGTGCTCAGGCATCGCCCAGCACCCCGGTAGCCCCAGCACACCTCCTGGGGAGACATCCCACTGATGGGACGCTGCAGGCTGGCACAGAGTGGACCGAACTGCCCTGCCCTGCTCCGCTGCAACACTTGCTCTCCACTGTGGTGGAGGCCCCCTCCCTGGGAGACAAAGTGGGACCAAGGACTCCCCCATGTCCAGCATCTTGAGGAGCTGCCCAAGCTGTGGGGACAAAGGACACCCCAGCCCCACCATCAAGCCAGGCTAGGTCTGGCCTGCTGGGCATTGGGGTAGCCAGAATGGCAATGCCCCATCTCTGTGACCCCAAAAGATAGAGGGCTCCCTGCCAGTGCTAAATACCTGCCTGCATAGGCTGGTGGGTTTAAGTTATTTCACACTGCTGGAAGCATTAAAATATGTACATATATGTAATAACGCAATAGGGTGCCCTTGGCTTACAGGGGGCATGGGGAGGCTGGGGTGATGCTTACTGGTGTGGGCTGGCCACGGGGCCTCAGGGCCGGGGTTGTGGGGCTGTTGATGGGTGCAGGGGAGTGTTGTGGGTGCTTTCACACGAGGCTGAGATACCCCTCTGTAATTAGTGGGATTTACTGTGTAAACCCAGGGTTCTGAACGCATCCAGCATGCCCCACAGCCCCAGGACAGAGCAAGCCTGAAGGCTGTCATCTAAAGCCAGAAGCAATTGGGCCTAGGGACCTGTTTAGTCTGTGGGGTGGAGAAATGGCGACGGGGGTAAGAGGGGCTCCCTGGGCTAATGCTCCGCAGGGAGCTGCGCTGGGGGGTGAGTGTGCTCCCTGCAGTGCTGCTCCCAGGCAGCCTGTGTTCTGAGATCCTGCACCTCCTGACCGTGTGGAGGTGCTGGAGGGCCCTAAGCAGGCAAAAGGGGGGGGGGGGCTCAGCCACCTGCACTGCTCCTTGAGCTGAGCCAAGCCCCTTCCCCACCCTGATGAGCAGCACTGCGGGCTGGGAGGAGCAGGGGGTGACCGTTCTTTCCCTGTATGCGCTGCTGGGACAGCACTGAGGACATGCCTGCAAGGATTCATAGCTAAAGGGGGGTCCGCGCTCCTGCTGCTTGTTTGGGGTTTGGTTTTACCCAGCCACAGGGTGGCAGTAGGGTGTCTGCGCACCGACAGGGCTCTGCAGCAGGTGCCTGCCTGGCCAGCAAGTGGAGGAAGCAGCAATGGCTGCCCTGTGCATGCTGGTGCCCCACATGTGGGCAACATCTGCCAGCAGCTACCTGGTGCCGGGACAGCCCCCCCCCTCCAGCTTGTTCCTGAGCAAGGGCCACTGTGAGAAGGGACAGTGATCCTGGCCGCTGCCCAGTGTGGCACAGCAGCAGCAGTAAGTTTATTTAGTGTTAAAGGGAGCAGCACCACCACCAACAGAAAAAGCTAATGTACACAGAAAACGGACTGAAGGCTGTTCGGTGGCTTGTGGCAATGGCAGCAGCTGGGCCAACCTCCAGCACTGCGCCAGACTAAATGTGGTGCGGTCCTGCATGGAGCATCAGTTGTTCCTGAAGGATGCAATACCATGCTGAAAATAACATCAAAGGTGTGCAAATACCGGCCAACAGTGATCCCCACTCTCTGGTTAGACTCACGCTCCTGGGAACCTGCCCTTGGAGAGGTATTAAGCCCAAGGACCCATGCAGATGCTGTTACAGGCAGCCCTGGAAAGGAGACCCCACATATTTCTTGCAATGACACCAAAATAAATGAGGTTCTCCACAAGGCCAAAGAGCTGAAACCGTTAGTGTGGGCTGCTGCTCGGGGCACATGTGCATTGATGAGGAAAGCACCCACCCAGGTGTGCGGTAGGGCAGATCCATCTCAGACCCCCTTATCCCAGTCTGGTGGCTGCAGAAGGCACAGTGCTGCTGGCCCTCAGCACCTAGTGCCTGTGGCAGGGCAGGAGCATCACACAACTGCTGGAAGGGAGCCACACACGCGGTGGGGAGAAGTGTTCAGTCCAGGCTAAGCATCCCAGAGGTAAAGCTGTCTGGTGGTGAGCTTACCACTCCAGGAGGGTGATCTCCAGGGATGAGTTGCAATTGCAGCAGAAGTATTAGTAACAGCACCAATTAACTTCCTCCCCCAGCCCCATCTGAGAGCCAGATGAGAGGTGTAAAGCCAGCCTGGCCTGAGTCTCTTGGTGTTTGCAACTTAAATATGGGAGTACGACTTCAGTAAGCAATCGCTTTTGTTTGTCTGAAGTCACCCCATATCCTCTAATTGGTGTTAGCAGCGTAACCCCCTGGCTGCACTTCTCCCCTGTGATACTGCCAGGGTGAGCTTTATTCACCACATGCTGGTATCAACCACCTGGCTGACTTCTCATTCACTGTACAAGGGAGACACCTAGGCTATCCAACACTGCGGAGACAACTCAAAGGTAACAGGACTGGGAAGTACTACAGGAATGTGACCTAGCTTTAAATCTCCTGCCTTTCAGTTGCTCACAATGGAGGTGTCAGAAAAAAGCAGCTGCGAAAATTAAGACATCCTATTTACAAGTTCATATGCACTTAAAGTACAGACTGGAGCTTCATTCCTCTGACAATGCATGCTGTGCACCCGCAGAGAGAATGGGGCTTGAACGGTCATCAAAAACGTTTTTAAAGGTTTTTTTTTTTTTCCTTAAAAAAAATAAGTTATTTTAGACCTGACAAATCACTTGCCAAAGGGAAGCAGCTGTTAAACAGAAGCAGTTACTCAGTTATACAAGGGCAAAGAAAGCATCAGTCAATGAGCTTTAGAGGCTTGTATAACGAAGCAGGCAATTTTAAAAGCTTTAAGAAATTCCCTCTCCGGCTAACGGTTGTTTGCCAGCTTTCGGCATACAGCAACCCAAGTTTAAAGCTCTGGGGTTCCTCATCACACCCAGCCGGCCGATGGCAGGACAGGACAGGACAGGACAGGACACCCTACGGCTCACCTGCATGCAGGCTTCTGCCAAGCGGTGGTGGATGTGAGCTCAGCTGGAGCCTCACTGTGGTACCTCGGCAGTAAGTCAGCAGCAGGAGCCAGCCCATGGGAGGAAGGCAGTGTGGGGCAGCGGGAGCTCAGCCGGGGCTCCCCTCCCTCACCAGGGCTGAATGGACTTCCACACCACCACTCCTCCCAGTAATGCCTTTGGCTGGCAAGCACTGGAGGCTGGCAATGCGGTTTGTAATGCTCAGTGAATCAACCAATTCCTCCCCGCTCCTGTCCTCCCCAGGGCTTGCTGCTCTGTGTTCGCATCTGACCACAGGCGGCTTGGGACTGCTGCAACCAGCTCCTACCTGCACGAGGTGAAAGGGTAAGGGGTCAAGTCCCCCTCCAGCTGCCTGGGTCCAGACCTGGAGGTCAGGTCCAGATCACACTGCACTGGGGGAGGAGGCAGCTCCAGTCCTGCACCCCTTCTTCCCAGGTCCCGGTGAGACACCAGCAGAGCTGAACCATGGTCCTCAGAGGAGAATGTTGGGAGCCGGGGGCAGGTTTCTCTGTGTGCGGACGGAAACGGTGAGAGTTTCATTTCCCTGTGACACCGGGGCGAGGGGGCACGGAGGGGGCAGCTGAGGAAGTTCAGTCCATCACAGGACAAAAAGCAGGATGAGCACCACCAGCAGGATGACGAAGAGAACGACAATTGCACACCACTGCCGTCGATCTGGAAGGAAAAGGACGTGTCAGTCTTCCTGCTTTAACAGGGAAGGAAAACTGGGGGAGAGCTTTTCTTTGCTCTGCTACTAGGAGCCCAGTTTAAGCTTAAGGAAGCCTGAAAAAACCAAAGCAGCAGCTCCTTTGGCTATGGGATGACAGTGTTTCTCCTCCAGGATACATCTGTTTTCAGGGACAGCTGTGGGAATTTTGAGGCTTCTCCCCAGCCAAGTTCAAACAGATTTAATAAGCTGGTTCAAAAGCAATCAGGAAGAATAATCAGAAAACTGCTGTTTGTTGCTGCTCCTTCTTGGAATAACCTATTTGTTGGAGGAACAAGAAGGGGTCTGGTGAAAGCTGCCCCAAAAGAGCCCTGCCACGAAGAGCCTATGGCGGCTCCCTAGAGGAGAGTGCCAGGAATGAGGTTTCCCCTGGACATCTTCACACCTTGCTGGCCTTGTGCAGCAGCTCAACACTGCATTGCCTCTGAGAGCTACTGTCTATGGCTACATCTGCACGCCAGAGAGAAAGCCCCTGCGAGACAATGGTGCAGCAGTGGGGACAGGGCTGCTGCCACCCCCAAACTTCAGGGCACAGCAGGGAAGAACCCTCCTGGTCAGCCCTAGCATGTACAATCGCAGGGATAGCAGAAACGCTCATTCACAGTTCTCAGGAACACTGCAACGCCAAAGCATTTTTCCCAGAGGAATGGAGAGATATGCAAGGTTTGCCAGCAATCATGCTGCCACTGGGCTTACTGGTGATCCAAAGCGCACTGTCAGCACTCCAAACGGTCTCTGTAGGGCTGTATTTCCACCGCCTCGTAAATCCCCTGTCCAGCCTAATCTTGCAGAGCAGAACACTTCTCCTCCTGCCTCGCTGCTGCCTCCACATGCTACCCCAGCACCCAGGGGAGAGGGGTGACAAGAGGAGGTGGCCATGGGCACAGCGCCAGCGCTCAGAGCAGTGAGCTGGCGGCAGGGGACTTCCCGGCAGGCATGCCGGGCTTCCTGTTTGCTCTGCCCACGGCGACCTGCCAGCCCACCGGCTTCAGGCACAGCCTTATAAGGACTTTTCTTGTGGGTTCAGCCTCCCCCGGTGCAGAAGTCGCCTTTTTCCTCTACCGGCTGAGTGATCTATCTGACTGACAACAGGCCTGCAGCCCGAGGGTGCCAGCAGCCTGAGGGCAGGTGGGATTTGGGAAGGGGCTTGCTGCAGGCGTTTGGTGCTGGGAAAACCACCCACGGTGGCGAGTGTTTTATGGCACCTTGAAAGCTTTTGTTCCACAGGCAGCCCAGGAAACTGCAGCAGAACAGAAGGCTGCAGAACTTCCCCTCCAACCATCTAGAGGGGATTTTTCCACTGCAGCGGTAGCAGCATAAATAGAAGGGCATCTGTATATGAAACAAAGGCTAAATAAGAACAGGCTGCGGAGCAGAGTCTGGGCAGGAGCGGCTGCAGGGCTTGGAAGTCTTCCCCCTTTTGCAAGCAGTGAGAGCTGCTCCCTCCCATCTGCTCGGCTCTGGGACGGCTGTCAGCGGGTGGGAGCACACAGCATCCCACCGAAGATCTGAGAGCTTGTCCCTCCCTTCCCAAGATTGGATCCCACTTCCCGGGATTTACCACTTGTCATGTGAGACACTTTGGCGAGCTTCTTCATGACGTTATCAAGCCGCGACTGAGTGCTGTCTAATTCGTGGGAGAAGTCATCCAGCATCCTAGGGACAGAGAAGCACGGCATTTGTCAGCAAGTGGCACGTCCCATTGGGATTTCTCAGCATGCTTACACACCGATCAGAAGTCTTGATGTGATCAGTGCATCACACCTTGGCAGAGAAAATGAACGCGGCCTGGTCTCCTGAAAGCACCCCAAAGCAGGGAAACACCTGCTGAAGCAGCGGGTCTGCTGCCAAGTGGGAAGTCATGTGGGACTCCTGTCAGACTGGTCTCCCTGCATGTCCACAGCTGAGCTCTAGGCACCCCTGCAAGGTGAGGAATGGGGTTTTTCATCTTTTTACGGGAAAAGTCTCATTTATAGTTTGTGATTAGCGGACACCAGTTAGACAGATCTAGGTGCCAGCTTGGACTTGAAATCTCTTTTCTTGTTCAGAGCTTGTAGTCAAAGCAAAAATCTTGTTTCAGTCATGTATTAAGCAGGAATGAAAACTGTAATTGCTTTTAAGGTGCTCTCTAAGCTCTGCATGGAAGTTACCTCTCTACTTCCTCCATACTAAGACTGTAATGAATCTGAAAGCCTTACTGAAGCCATGCTTTGCCAATACCGAGCACCTATTTGATGAGAAAAGAGCACATCCAGAATCAAGATACCAATCCAACTGTCTCCAGCCAGCAGGACTTTAAAGCTTAATACATTTAAAAGGAGAGCTTCCTTCACTTGGAGTTCTAAGGCACTTGTTAAACCTTCATTCAGTGGGGAAAGAGTTGTAAAAACACTCACTGCAGTAGTCATCTGCTACTGTCTAGCAAGCACTGATGGCTTATGCAGTGATCTGGAAGCAGATGCACCATACTGATCTGCTTCCTGAGAGCAGGAGAGTCTCACGCTGCAAGGCTTCATCACGAGGTGCGTTTAAAGTTCCTCCTTTCCATCAAACAAGACATCACAAGGGGCATAGCCTTCCAGGCTCCTATCAGCCAAACAAAGAGGGTTTTCAGGCATGAACCCTTCAAGCCTCTCTGGAAGTGGTAGCTGTCAGCCTGCATAACTGGAAACTTTATGCACTTGTTTGCAAAGGACAGGAACTGGGGAAAAAAATCTAATTTATATGTAAATGATGGATGCAAATTACTCTGTGAGCTACCCTTTAACCTTTAGTGTGGGTGAGGGATATTTTTAGCTTTAACTATGAATAGCAGCTCTGTGCTGCATGTTTCAGAGTGGCAAGGCAGAGCTGAGAGCTCCTGGGTCAAGCAGTTATCCAGGAGCAACAAAAAAAGCCCATGGAGTAGTAAAGTGCCCAGTATTCCCATTACACAGTACCTCCCTCCCTCCTTCATCTTTCCAGCAGTGCTGGCTGCCTGAAGTCAAGGAGCTAACTGTGTGTCTTAGGGAGAATATGCAGAAAGGAGAGAGAAGGAAAAGCAAACTAGCAGCTAAGCCTGCCCTAGATGCAGACTATCAAAATGAACAAGGCTGCAGCTGGATCCTTGCAGGCTGCAGTAACAAATGGTTTCCACTGCCTAAAACTGAAGGCCAGCTAGGAGGGGCTGCCTGAGGGACTAGTAAATTCAATACCCTAACAGGGACAGAGATACATGTGTGAGAACCTCCAGCTGTGTTGCAGCCAGCCCCATACTGGATTTCTGGTGCTGTATCTAACACTTACACTGCTTGCTCCTCCAGCTCCCCACCAATGCGCTGGGACATGTTCTTCAGCACTCCAATGCTGCCAGAGACCAGCTCCAACTGCTCATCCTGCTGCTCCACAATCAACTGGGGCCAAAGAGAAAGGAAACAGGCAGTTATAGGTATGCTGCATTAGGCAGTTGGGTTGGAGCCAGCTGATCTGATGGACACTCACTGCTCAGCCACCATCAGCTGCAGAGCCTGGGTACAGATCTAAGCCTCAAGGAATGAGGACCACATTCCTAAGAAATGCTGGAGAAGTGACAGGCACAGGAGAGCCTCCCCAGCATGGCATTCCTGTGGCACAGCAGGTTGCAGTTTCTTGACACCCCTGCAAATCCAGCCTCAGCTCACCTATGCCCCTGCTGTTCCCTGCTGCACCCACCACTAAAGAGACTCTTGAAAGCCACAGGGACTGGTCACCAAAACCTCTGCAAGCCCCCCCTGCTCATAGCAGGTATTGCAAACGAACCTGAAACATGCTGCAGCTAACAAGGGGTTAATGTGAGTAAAAGGCTTTTGCAGCTTCTACAGCTAAAAATAGCAAGCCTGGCTCTGAATGTGCCAAAGGAACAGGTCTGCTAATGTTTTAAGTCACTTTCAGGGAGCTGTCCCACTGAGGATTAGATTTACCCTAGTTACCTATTTCTGAATCTATTTATCTTCCCAGAGTCACTCATTAAAACTCGTCTGAGAGCTGGGGTGGCAGTGTGGGTCAGGAGATTTAGTAGAGTTTGCCACCCTGGAGAAGCTGCCTGCTTGAAGGCCTGTATTTGGGTGGGCTGCTGCACGCTGCCTGGCACTTCCACAGGGGAACTCCCCCGGTGTCGGGAAGTCCCTCACCAGGGGTTCTCGCAAAGCCCTCACACAGGCTTTCTCACAGATCTCATGTTGACAAAGGCAGGAAAAGGAAGCAGACACGTGCTCCTGCTCCCAGCCCATTCTGATGAAGATGCACACAAACAACAGCAAACATCAGCTCATTTTTTAACACAGGGAAGTTGCATAAGAGAAACGGGCTCTTTTCTGTTTGCAGTATTTCTACTCAGCAATCCTTGCAGTGCTAAAGCTTAGTGAGCTACATCTTCCAGATCATGTTGATTGCCTTTGGTACAGAGCAGAAGACCCAAGCTTCAAGGCTTAAAAACTCTGCACCAAGATGCATCCAAAGCTGCGATGTACAGGAAACGCATGCACAGGTATGTGCTGCAAGCAAAGAGGAGGGCTATCAGGAACCCGGTTCCAAACCAGCCAGGGACTTGATTTTTTTGGCTCTCTCAGCCCATACCTCATCCCCACGGCACCCATTTGGCAAGCAAAGCTATTTAATCTGCGTGGTGCCAGCTGCCATACCTGTTGTTGAGCTTGCTGCTCTTCAATGAAGTGTGAATTTGCTAATTGCAGGTCCCGGTCCAGACGGCTGTATTTGTCAGGTCCAGTGCTCCAACTCTGACTCCCACTTTCTCCCAGGAGTGCCTAAACAGATACATAGAGCCCTTAGCAACATCCTTGTGTCTGCTCACAGTCTGTCTACAGGGTGTAGTGGGAAGGCAGACAGGGCAATACTTCTGTACACATGCATACAGCATCATTTTCCTCCTGCTTTATCGCTACCCGGCCAGAGTGCTGTCACAACTAAAAGACCACAGTGCCAAAATGCCAGCCTGGGAAGTCTCTGCAGCCTGATTATTGAAGATATGCCTCTCCAGCAGCAGAAGACCTGGAATATGATCGAGAGACAATGCACACAGGAGGTCTGCACAGTACAAAGGACTAGCAAAGGTCTGCTCAAGAGACAGCACTGTGTGCTAGGACACGTAAGCTGGGAAGTATCCTGATATATTGTGTTAAAAGATGTATAGCTCAAACTGAACACTGTGCTACCAGTGACAGAGGCATAAGAGGGTCTGAATAAAGTACTTAACCAGTTAAGCTGAATGTAAAATACTGCAATATATAACCACAGCAGTGTTGTATGCTCATGTTCTTTGATTCGGGCTACCTGTGCTAGGAAAGATGTAGCTTTCCAGCCAAGTCTGGAGCCTGGAATGGGTGTAACACAAGGAGAAGATGCTAGAGAATGAACGTGGCCCACAGGTGAGGGGCTACACCCTGCAGCACTACAATGGGGTAGGGAGCTCTGCCCATCAGCATGGAGGCAAGCCCAACTTGTAATGAGACAGTCTTACAGCTTCTGAACAGGAAGAGATGACCAAGTATTTGTGAAGAACAGCAAGATACTATTAGGCTGCTCTGGCAGGCTAAAACCAAGACTGTCTCTATGGTTCATTTGCCTTACAAAGTTCAAGAGGGGTAATGAAACCTGATGGACCAACAGTGCAGGAAGCAAACAGAACATATGGCTTTGCCCCGAGACACTGAACAAGCTCCTGGTTCTCTCCAGTTCGTGGCAAGCATAGCTACCACTTATTTAACATGGTGCACTAGTTTTGCTGCAGAAGGGCCTGTTTGGCATCCTTAGCCTGTAAGGGTCAGATCGCCACCAGCTAGTCTTTCAGACACAGAGGCACATTGAAGAGCAGCTGCAGTCCAGTTCAGCACAGGCTTCATGGTCTGGAGGAAAGGCGAGGAGGTGGGGAAGGGGAGGAAGACAGCAAGGGGAAGTCAGTTTTCCTGACCAGATGTCACCACATGAGCTGGGCCATATGGTCTCCTGCAGCTAGCAGGAACTTTGCACAAAGGAAAGCAGCAACATGCAGAGACAGCTACAGACTTGTTTGAGCAAGAGTGTAAGGGATTTTGCTTCTTCAAGTGTTCAGCAAGCACATCAACCAACCCTGTAACAAGCTCAAGAATTAGCTCTGTACTCAAGTAGCTTGTTGCAGTTTGTAATTTTTGCCACAAGTTACTTGTATGAAGTGCGCACCAGGTCTTACTCAGGCAGCTCTGGAAGTCAGCTCCGAGATCTCCTTACAGCCTCCCTGTCAACCAGGAAGGAGCACAAGCTGCACCTATTTCTATTCCTTAGATTATATGTGCAGACAACCTGCAACTCTTTGAGCTTTTTCCATCTTATTACATGGCTAACCATTATGACAGGCAGCTGTGTGAAACGATATTGCAGCATCTTGGCTCCTAAATACAGCAGAGCGCAAGATTACATTCACTGACACGGATTCTGAGTCTGCACCCCTAAGGAGGGATATTCCCCTTTCCACAGGATGATGCAACACTGACAGTTGTACACAAACAGATCTGAAGACAGCGACAGATGGTGAGTGCTGACTTTCTGCTTTGAGAGACAGGCTTGGAAGAGGAAGCAACATGCCTGCAAGACCAGCTTGCTCAGGTCAGAAAAACACACAGTTCAAATACACAGCTTTGCTGTAGCATGCAAGCCCCTTCTCGGAACAAAGGTTTTTAAGGGGATGAACTACAGACAGGATATATCTTGTAATTACAGCTTTTATACAGTTTTAATCAATGCCATAAACTCTACCTTACAACATGGAGCCTTGGAGTAAGTGAAAACAGAAGTTTCCCCTAACACATACCTTAAGACAACGGCTGCTAGAGCTGATACATCCTCCTTATTCCTTAAAGTACCAAACAGCCACTGTGTTCACTTAACTTGCCTTTTTCTGTTTCTCACCTGTCTGTTTCTTCTTTCAGCCAGTGCTTGCATGGAGGAGTTTGACATCTGATCCTTCATTTCCTGTTTGTTCAACAAAAGATGTAGTATGTGAGCACTGGATTTGAGGTGACAGGCAGTTTCACAGTGCAACAGGGCTGTCTATATCCCGGAAGGCTATTTTAGGGGCAGTGAGGGAAGGGAGATTTTCTTTGAAAATGTAAAATTTTGAAGATTCTAGAAAAAATTGCAAAAAGCTTCACTGCAGTTCATGATTTTACTAATACTAGAATCAAGAGCAATGAGGTATTTTGAAAATACTAAATTTTACTACTTGTTTTGCTCTGCTACAGCCAGAAACACTTTTATTGTATAATGTTAAACTAATGTTCCCATTGATAGACTGTAAGGAAGAATCATGTTCTTCACGGTTTTGGGAGCCTGTGACCCCCTGCACTTTATTCCCAGTCACATCTGGGTTTCTATTGCATAGGACGAGATAGATTTCCTGTCCTGCGGCCATCCTCTCTGACTACACGTTTTCTCCTCTATCAGTTCAGTTTTGCTGCCGAGTACCTGGAAAGATCACTAGGCACAGAAGGCTCCCCATTATAACAGCCTAGTTTTTATAGAATAGATTAGCAAGTAGTCAATATGATCTAGTAGAGGTTGACTCACCAGCAGAATTCTGATGTCACCAGGACATTCAGGTATGTTTTACTGTTCAGACGCATGTAATCCATCACTTAAGAGCACAGGATCCCACTCAATTCCTTTCACCCGCTGCTGTGCACCATGTATTCCCCCACAGAAACTGGAAGTCAGCTGCACAATGCCTCTAATGAATCTCATTTAACAATAAGAGACACTGCTCCAAAACCTATTAGCCAGCAGTCTTCAGCCAGAAAAAGAGGACCATAGAGTGGGCTTGCATGATCCTGTCTGTCTGGGAGTGGACCACACTGAGGGCAAAGCAGTCAATACATGCCTGCTACATGGAGCCAGTGTGGTTTAGCTATCAGTTCCCAGGCAGCAAGCCTTAGGAACAGCATCCAGATCACAGGACTGCAGGTAAAGTAACAAGCTTTCCACCAGCCACAGCAATGCATTTTGTGAAATAGGAACATCAGAGTCATGAGGGGCAGCAGAAACTAAGCTATGCTAGTGTAGCTATTAATAGGAAGAAAACTTCCCAACTAGCAGCTTGTTACCAGGCAGTAATGCTTTTAGGAAGATGTTCCTTCTCTATTTGTTACCATCAAGTTGTTAAAATCTTCCTTTTGCTTCTGAAGTGTCAACTTAAACTAAAAACCCTGATCTTTCTTGAGTTAAAAATAAACCTAGTGGTTGTTTGGACTATGTCGTATGGGTAGGAAATTGAAGTCACCACGTCGGTAATGCTAGGCTTTAACCATCTGTCAGTGTTCAAAGTGGACTCTGTTTTGAAAACTAGTGCTACAAAAGCACAGGACAGTTGTGATTTCCTTCAACTCTGAAGGGAGGCTCCAGCCTCTCCTGCATCACAGAAGGTCTTTATTCTTCCTCCCCAGTTACTATAGGTCCAGGCTTACTGTTGTAAGAAAGTTGTGAAGACTTAGAAGAGGTAGCAGCAGCAAAGGAGGATATGCCCCAAACCCATATGGGCAGCCCCAGGAGGGAGCACAAGGGGAAGAGAATGAAGCCTGAGAGAGAGCAGGTATCAGATTTATTCTCTGCTCTCCAGTTCATCGTGGAAATGGCCACAAGACTTCCTTTATTTAACCACCTAATCACTCCCCCTGCCTTCCTTCCTCATGCTACCTCCTCATGCTCCCACCCCAAGGCCACGTTCCTTACCCTGACCACCTGCCGTGTGCTCGTGATGAAGGCTTTCCTGATACCCAGCTCCGTCGCATCGAGGTTGAATTTCCGTGGGTTTGCCTCAACAATGCGTAGGCAGCGAGTCAAGGAGTCCCCATTAGCTGTCTTGGGTACGCACACAGACACACAAACCCACAGGGTGCCTCAGTGGGGGCCTACCAAGCGGCCACTGTGCCGTGCCTTTTCCCAAAATTGTATTTGCAAAGTATGAAACACTGGAGGAAAAAGCAGGCATAGCAGGAACGTGCTGTGCAGTACATGCACCAGGGTGAGGTTTCTCTCCTATGTTTTTTTGGTTCTCCGATGCCGCACAATGCTTTCAGGAGTGTACAGATGAACACAAGGGAGAAGGAGTATTTCTGGAAGCCAGCCTAGAGTATGACTGACTACACAGAAATCCAAATTCATACAACACAATAGGCTTTCTAGAACAAAGCCTTAAAATACATCTTGTCAAAAGGAAAATGAAAAGGCAAAAGAAAAGTCCTTTTGCTGCAGGCATTTGCCTTAATTTCTCATTTGCAGTTTGAGAAAAGCCAACATAAATGCAAAATTCTATCCGAAACAGTCCTTTCTGCAAAAAGTAACTACTGGCAAGCACTGGTACTTGGTTATTTAGTACAACCCAGGAACCACATCCCACATCTCTAAAGAACCACAGAAAGGATATTAATAGTTTCATCCAAGTCTTCCAGGTCCCACTCGATGCTCCGCAGGTTGTTCCTGAGCTCATTAGTGGTCCAGTCGATTTCTTCTCTTGTGGCAATGGAGGGATCTTGCAAGAGCTCAGTCCACCTCTGGAAAAGCCCCTGGGCAGTATTCACAGCCTTCTGCACCTCCCTGCAGCCAAGGTGATTAAAGCGAAGGGATTACCATCAGTTCCTCTGCAGCAGTCACAGCCCCATGTCCAACTGCACCGGGAAGCACAGCTTCCTCCCAAACACTTTTTAGCTTATTTTGTGAAGTAAGGATTTGCCCTACCTACTGGACAATCCTACCTCTTGCTGCAGCACCAACTTACATGTCAGCTATTAATGAAGGGACGTATTTCTTTAGAGGAGGTTTCTGTCGACTGTCACACAGGCAAGTCAGGGCAGTGTCTGAATAAGGCAGCTCTTTGGCAATTAATGTTCTGCATTCCTCTCAACAGCTTTCCTCTGGAGACTCTTGACTAGCTATGTAAGATCCCCTAAGGCACACAAAATTACAGGAACTGTCCCCACAGTACCAGCCAGGCAGACTGTTGATTGCAGCACTGTTTATTTTAATTCAGCATTTAAAAAATACACAGCTCTACTACACTGGCTTAGGGAACACAAGTCTTTTCTGCTGCTCTAAGCTTTTTGGAGATGAGTGCGTTCACAGCTCTGCTGACAGCACTGAATGCTGCTTTGATGGTTTGGAGCACACGGGTCTGTAAGTTTGGGTCACGGTCCATCAGTGTGGTTATCTGTATTTACAAACTCTGCAGTCCTGAGCTGTGAACTGCTCCCCCACATTGACAAGAACCCAGGATGAGGGATCCAGACCAGAGCAGACTTTGCTGGTGTGAAAAGTGGCCACCACAAGCTCAAGAGCTTACACACAGCATCTATGTAAGATGCTGGTGGTTTATCCCCAGTGAAGGAAAGCAGGTTATCAGTAGGGGAAGCCCAGAGCAGATGACCTGAGACTGCACTCTGCAGCTCTCTACACCATGACCTGAAGTACGCAACCGTGCTAAGCTGCAGTCTCTCAGCACCCTGATGGGTGTCCCTTCTCGTCCCACAGGCCTACAGTTCCAAGTCTGCCACATCTAGTGCCCTAAAGGCAGCAGCCCAGAGGATCTGTCAAGCTCTGTTCCCTTCAACTACTTGCTAGAAAATGTTTTGGGGTATTTTTTTTTGTTTAGGTTTGGTTTTTTCCATTTGAGCATACCTGGGGAGGTTCCCACAAAAGGAACTTAAAGTAGAGCTGGATGTCCTCCGATGGGAGGCATCAGAAACACCAGGAAAGCAAACTAAATGCAACGCTGGTGGCTCCACCACCACCACCACCAGCCCCTTCGACCTGCTGGGTAATAATTAACACTGGGAGCGGCAGCACATCCCCCTCCCCTCCCAGCCCTTTCCTACATGGCGCGGGAACCTCTCCAAAAACTTTGACAAGACATTTGCTCCTCACCCATGACGACTTGCACCAGTTCAACCTGGCAGAGTGATTTGCTTTCCCTGGCTGCACCAGCATCCCTTCCCACACCTCTTATGCTCATACAGCTTTCCCCACTGCTCCCCAACAAGCACCTCTGCTGCTCTTGAGTGCCGTTTCACCGTGACATGGGGTAGGAGACCCACCTGCAGCAGAAGCTGAAGGTGGTCCCAAGGTAGTTTTTAGAGACTGAGGTGCTTTCATCCTATTAATTTCCTCCTGCCTTGACCACTTTTGTGTTGGTCTCCTTTGTGGTCAAGGCAGGTTTGCATTTGCCTGTGTTCAGGCTCTTCCTTGCTTGCTTTTTCTCATGGCCACTGTCCATACTGCAGTTTGGTTCACAACTTGGTCCCCATCCCTCTCCATCCCTCCACCCGTACACCGCGGCCCTCGCCTTTGGAGGATGCCATCCACCATCAGCGCGCCCTGCTCTGCGCGCTGCAGGGCAACATTTCCCAAGCCTCTGCCACCTCCCTCCGACAGGGACATCCGGGCACGCTGTCCCCAAGCTGGCCCTGCGCGCCGGGACCGCACCTGCAGCCACGGCCGCGCTGCACCTCCCGCTTTACCCAGGGGTGCATCTACACAGTTCGGGCGTCGCTGGCCCGGAGAGCGGGAAGCGCTGCGTGCAGGGAAGCCCGGGAGCGGCCCGGCACAGAGCCTCGTCCCAGGGCCTTCCGCGCCGGGCCTTCGACGTCGAGCTCCCAGCGGGGCCGCGGCCGAGCCCGAGGCCGCCCCAGCCGCAAAGGGGGGTGTCGCGAACGCCATTTTCCCCCGTCCCGGTGGCCTCCAGAGACCCCCGGACGCCGCTCAGCCCTCACTTCCGGGGGCGGCTATGCCCAACCCTGGCCGCGCCCAGCGCCCTGCCCGTGGCTGGGTGTCCCCGAGGCTCGCCGCTTACCCCTTCACCACGAAGAAGGGGTCCTCCATCGACATGGCGCTCCCGCTGCCCGCCCCAGCCGCCACACGCCGTCGAGCCACGCCCCCCGCCGCCGCGCCACGCCCCTTCACCGCGCCCCGCCCCGCCGTCACGAGCGGCGCGCCTGCGCACTGTGCGCGGGGTGGTGGTGCTCAGGTGATGACGTCGGCTCGCCGGTTGGGTCTCGGTGTGCTGGGGGGGTTTCCTGAGGGACTGGGGCGGTCGGCACCGGGGGTGTCCCGAGTGGGGGGGATGCTGTGGGGCTGTTCCCGCTCTTCCAGAGGGCTCTTCCAGCCTTTCGCTGCTTGGAGCACAATGTCCCTTTCCCCCCTTTGCCGCCGCGTCTGCTCCTCCCTGCTTCTCGGCACTAAGGAGGCACGTCCTGAGCGGCGCTGGGGCGGCCGGGCTGCTGGGCCGTGGTGCTGGCAGGGTGTTTTCCCACCCGGCGACAGCCAGTCTGCTCTGCTCCCGCTACCCTTCCTGCCCCCGGAATGAACAGGCACCGCTTCCTTCCTCCTCCCTTCTGCGGGTGAGAACAGCCCTTTGCCTCTTGGCTGTTGTCCATCTCAGCGTGAGGACCTCTTGTTCCCTCGTTTGCCCCTCTCAAATCTCGGCTCCCTGGTAGCCTCTCTCAGCTGCAAGCACAGCTAGCCCTAGTCTCAGGAAAGCTGTCAGGAGAGAATGGTGTCTGTGCAGCACCAGGGGATGTTCACACACACACACACAAGGCAGAGCTTCCTCTGTGCAGCACTCTGCGTGTGGAGTGTCCTGTGTTACTCCCATGGGACAGGCAGGCAAGGTGGTCAGTTCTGCAGAGGTACGGCCAGGAGCAATCACCCAGATCTCTGGCCTCTTGATCGGAGGACATGTCCCTGCCTGCGCTCTCTGAATGTGGCTGTGGTCCAGCATCCCTAGCAAAAGCAGTGCCGATTCACTGAGGGAAAAGGTACAAGAGATGCCTCCTCAGCATGTGAACTGGATACCTCAATTTTGCAATCACAGCAGCTTTACTCATGAGTGTGGGGTGGGAAGGCTGTGGCACATGTAAAACTGGTTTCTGCAGTTTTGTGCGGTGAGAAAGCTGCCTCCTGCTCTGGCCAGCCCCATACCAGGGAAGCTGCAGCTTGCCAAGTGTGGTGCAACAGGCCAGAGACAAGCTTTAGGGTTTGTGTTTGCTGGCCCTTCCTTGGTGCACCTTGGGTGGCTTGTTTCCCATGCTGGGGTCCCAGCGAAATGCACTGTGCTGAGCATGGAGGGCTCCCTCCAGGTGCCAAGGAGTTATTAGGACCCAAAGACTTTGTATTCCCCAAAACCCCACGATCCTCCAGTGATTTCCACTGTGCTTCACACTCTTCAGAGCTCCCACCTTAACAACTTGCATAACACAACCGAGCTCAGAGGTGGAGGGGGTTGTTCCACAAAATACCAGACACCATAACTCACCTGTCCTTCAATGGGGACATCACTGAAGCAGCTCAGCAAATGTTGTAGCCTTGTTGCTTTGTGTTCAAAGCCTCCATGGGATTTGGCTCTAGTAGTTATAGGGTGCTTAAAGACATGATGTATTCTGAGCACCCCACCAAAGGTTATGAGGGTTAGATTTGTTCAAACACTCATGGAAGTCTGTCAGAGGCAATTTGCAGTGCTCTTCGTTTGGTGTGCCAAGACTGCACAGCTCAGCTTCCTCTCATCAAGCATCCCCTGAAACCTTCGCTATGATGGGAATGAAACAAGGGAAAGCTCCCACAGCCGCTCAGAGTTACTAGCTAAGAATTTCAGAAATCCTTTAATAAATTCTATGAACACTTTATTCACTTAATTGGAAATGGGGTTTTTTGAATGCATTTGCAAAAAAGTGTGAAGCTTTGCAGGGCTGTTGAGGGCTGAAAATAAGGAGGTGTTACTGAAGTGTAGGGAAGTTGCAGACTTTCCAGGAATAACACAGACAGTCTTTGATGCTGGAAATTAATGTACATGATGCAGTCAATGATTTAGATTCAACAGCACTGCTATGGAGTTTTTAGAATGGAGGCATTTTTGCCATATCTTGTAGGAAGCTCTGATTTTTGGTTTCAAGCAGTGGGAAGTGTTTTGGTAGCTTTCTGGCATGCTCGGCTAACCAGTTCCTCCCTGGGAGAGGAGTGCTCGGTGCATGGCACACAGCTGCAGAACTGGTCAGGAAAGATCTGATTAAACTCTTCTGTTCTGAAAAGGACCAACTCATCAAAATCCCAAATGTCTGTAGGGAAGAACTGGGTTTACTGAGGCTTTTATCAGGACAAAAATGGTGGCATGTTTGTACATGCACAGGGGAGTGTGTGTGTGTGTGTGTGTGTGTGTGTGTGTGTGATCCCGTACTAGCCCAGTACAAAAACATGCATTTGGTGGAAAGATATGGCTTTTCCTCTCGGAGAAAAGCTGGATTGATTTGAATTTGGATTTGTAAAAGCATAGGGGATTTTTTTCCTCCAGAAAAGGTTTTACAGCTAAAGGAAGAAGTAATAAAGCTAATGGGTTTCAGATGCTTCAGTGTTTCTCTTCCTCATTTGCATTTTTAGTGGAAGTTGCTGAAGATTTTCTGTGGTTGTAGGAGGAGAGATAAGGCAATGATAACTTGATAAAAAACAGTAGTTTGTGGCTAAATATTCAGTGTTGTGGTGGGCAGTGGGGTTTTCCATCAAATCCCAAGTGTTTCCAGCAAATCCTACCCACTCACGGCCCCTCTGTATTTGTAACAAGGTTTCCTGAACCTCATTTTTATGAATAGGTGGGAACTTCACTGTGAAGCACCAAGGGCACAGGTGACACAAGGCCTCAGCCGTGTGACAGCATGGTGGCCTGACAGCAGCAGCTCTGAGGTGTTAAAAGAGCAAGATGCTGAGAGGTGATTGCTCCTTGCCAAGAAGGTGGCTTGGATGCTGGATGCTCCTGGTTACATGCTAGAGCCAATGGAGCGGGTTTCCTTGGACTCACAGTTGTCTGGGAAGAAATGAAGCCTCACCAAAGCTGCTTCTGTGGTTCTGGCTTTCCTCCTGTTGCTGTCTCTTGTGGGCTTTCATTGTCTACTGAGAGCTAGTTTCAAGCCATAGCCTTACCCTTGGGTAGGTTTGTATCAGTGCAAGCCCTGTGTGCAGTAGAGGCTGCAATCCCTGACTGGACAACTGGCCAGAAATGTCAAAGATACAGACAAGTACAAAATAAATGAGCAAATGCAAGGTGGTAATTCGTGGTAGGATGTAGGATGACTATTCAGAATAATGGTGGTTTTGAAAAAGTAAAATAAAATCCCTCTTTGTAGTGCATGAGCAATTGATTATTTAATGAGGATGAAAATGAGAAATGAAATTGAGCAAAGGCAGCATTACTTTCAGCAGGGTGAACCTCTGGGACTGCCTGCCACAGGATGCCAGGGGTGCTGAGAGCTTGCCTGGATCCAGAAAGAGGTTAAAATAGATGAGTAGCAAGGTGCTGCACTGCCAGAGTCCTTGTTACTTTTTTATGTGGGTGAAATCAGAATGAACTTTTCCCTGGCAGCCTTTCCCCATAACCTTCCTTGTAACCCCTGTTTCCATGGATGACCTCACCAGGGCTTCAGGCTCTGTCACGTTGTTAGCCTCACGTTGTTAGAAGGAATGGGTGGCTAAATGATAGTCTGCACGAGAGGGAAGGGGCACAGATCAAAGAGAGGAGTGGGAGTCAATGCCTGCTGGCAGGCACAGATATTTTGCAGTTTCCCTTGATGGTGGGAGGAGGGATTCAACACAGAGAGGATCTGCTCTGCCCTTGGTGCCCTCCTCCATGGTTGATAATCTTAGGACTCAAGGTTGCCTCCTGGCATGCCTTTGGACTTTGAATAAGGACTGTGTGTGGTGTGGTTTGCTGGCAAGTCCCGAGGACCTTGGTCCCCCTTTTTGTTAGCAGGGAGCAGAGCAGGCGTCTCTCCTGGGATAACAGCTCCATGGCTCCAGAGCATCATTGTGCATCCTCCCCATCATGCCTAAGCAAAACAGTCACACAGAGGACAGATCTGCACTTTGGGATGTGCAGAGGGCTACAGCTGTCATTTGCCTGCTGGCTAAAAGGAAGGTGACATTGAGATACAGGGAAAGTTAAAAGATAATTAGGCAGAGAGTCCTTTGGGCAGGAGATCTACCCTGCCGTTTGCCCAGCTGAGACTTGGTTGGCTCTGCGGAGTTTGCATGATTAATTTGGGATGTTTAACCCCATACTGGGCTGTAGGTGAGTGCCACTGAGGCTGCCTTTTTCTGTAGCAAAGTTTTCTGGGGAGCCAGTCACTCCAGTGAAAAGCATGGGCTTTGCTGGACAGCCAGAGGGTTGTCTGCGGGGCTACATCCCAGGGCTGTCCTGCTTCTTTTCCCCCTGGACACAAGGCAGCCTCTGTCTTTGGAAATGGCACATGACCCATTGCAGGCATATCAGAGAGGGGAAAAGAAATACAGGAAGGTGGATTACAATGGAAGGGTTGTCTGATAGGAAACCCTGGACAAATAAATGCATTTTTTTCCCCAGGAAATCCAAACTGGTTCCCTAAAACACTGAAAGATGTGGGCCACATTTTTCCAGGGGAAACAGCTGCCTGAAGAAGCTGATAGCTGGGAGTGGGATTCTGCCCCGACCCCCTTTGTGCTTGGAGAGAGTGCTGGAGGAGTAGCAGGATTTCTGATGAGCAGGGAGTCCAGGTCACAGGTCTCCAGGGGAGGGAAGGGAAATCCCAAGGCTCAGAGTAAGGGAAGGGAAATTTTAAATCATTTGTGAAAGAGCAAAAGGGGGAATCCCAGGTTACTGGTGAAAAAAAAAACCTGTACGAAGGAGCCCTGTCTGCCTGGGCTATCTGCACTATCATCGCTGCTCATGGGTAGGAGGTTTTTAACCCTGGAAGAACCCTTTGCTTTCTAATATGTGGCTGTGCTTTCAGGGGTGGGTGTCTCAGCCTTTTCAGAAGAGGAGAGAGGGAGCTGCTTTCTCTCCTTTGGCTTTAGGTTTTGTATTGATTTGTTTGTGTTTGTTTCACTTGTGCATTGTGTTTGGTTTTCATTTGGCAGTGATTAGTGGTTAGCACTCTGCTGTTTTGGGATATTTCCCAGTTCTTCTGACCTTATCTCCAATGTTGGATAAACCAGAGCAGTTGGGAACCCTGGGGAATTAGTTACTGATATCCGACTGCAGCAGGTCCAGACCACATCCATGCGAGTCATTGATTTTTTTGAGGAAAAAAACCCAAACACCCCCACAGAAACCTCCTTCTCATCCTGAGCCCTGTGTAGGTCCCTCACAATTGAGATGTTTGCTATTCCCATCTAGAAGTGAGCTTGGGCTGCAGATGAATCACATTTGGAAATGATCCTCCCTGCGCTGTTTTGCTTCCATCAGCAATTTCTTGGGATGTGCCTGGATCTCCCTGAGGCTTTGGCTGTCCTGAAGCTCTGTTCTTCCTGCAAGGCAACTGTTGGTGCGAAGGCTTTTTTCCCAGCCTCAGTGGTGGTGACAGAGGTTTGGCTTCTTTGTTCCTGTCTTCTTCCTGGGAAGACTCTTACTCATGAGTTCTGGTCTGAATTTAATAGAGAGGGGACAGTGGACTGCAGTGGTGCTGGGACGGGCAAGAGAAGTGATGGATGACTTCAGTCTATGCTCCGAGGAGACCCTAACTTCACCGTCTGTCCTACCCACAGGGTTCTCCACCTCTTGGCTGCAATTGCCTTCTCCCTGGAGCCTGGGCTGCACATTTGGTGACAGCGAAGGTCTGGCGGGGGAGTGGTGACTGAGACAGGCGCCGCGGTCGAAACAGGACCCTGCTAACCACATCCTCAGCCCCACCGCCGCAGGTCTTGCGGCTGTTCTGGGTGCCAGATGGCTGTGCTGGTGCAGCCCCAACCACGGCACTGCTGCGTGGGCTACAGCCGGTGGGGGGGGGGAAGGGGGGGACGGGTGGAAGCGAGGGCGGGAGGACCCGGTCGGGGTTTTGCTGCCATAGCAGGGGATGCAGGCATCTGGCACACAGCCCCACGCTGCGCCTAGCCAAGATGCAGCCCTGCGAATCGCAGACGAGCTTCCCGGCGCCGGCCTCCTCTGCCCACTGTGGAAGGCGAATTTAAACACCTCCAAAACTCCCGATGGTGTGCGCAGCCCTCTGCAATTATTATTTGTACCACAAGCTGCTTCCTGCCCCGAGCTGCTTTTATCTTGCATTGTTTTCCTTTCCAGGTGGGGCCGCAGGCTCCCCGCTGCTCGGCCTCCGGGGCTGCCTCCGCCACTGGTTTGCTGGCCACACTGCCGGCTGCAGCTTGCTGGCGGAGAGGCCACCTTTGTCTGCCAGCCCGTCCGCCCTCCTCCTCCTGCCAGAGCTATTTCTGGAAACAGCAGCTGAGCCCGAGGATTGTTAATTGTTCATCAAACCCCTTCCAGTCCAGTTAGATCACATGCGGAGATTAGAGCACCTCGTCACACCCTTTCCTCCTTCTCATGTATCCCCCCCTGACCCCCAGGGATGGGGGGTAATGCCCCTTCTGCAGCAGACGGGGAGACACGAGGCATGTGCAACTGTCAGGGATGCCAGCCCCACCGAAGTGACGGCTCCCACGCCGTGCCTAGCCGTGGGTATCACAGAGCTGCCTTGTTCAAGGGACAAACCCAGCAGGGTCACCCAGCAGCAGGGACCGGCTCGGGTGCAGGCAGGAGCCCAGGGCAAGCAGGCAGGCGGACAACAAAGCCACCCCAGCCGCTGACCTTAGGAGCTACCATGTGACTGTCTCAAACTTACTAAAGCATGACATCAGCCTGGGAGGGAAAGGCAGGGCTGCCACCAAAATACTGCCTGGCTTAAACGGGCTGCCGGAGCGCACTGCCTGCATGCTGCCGACGGCCCCTGTCTGCGCTGCTGCCGGTCCTCCCCTGTTTTCCCCTTGAATGTCACCCCCCACCCCGAAAAAGCAAACCACTGCCCCATCTCTTTGCAAAGGTTATGATGTGTAGTCGGGGTGGGGCTATTTTGTTCTGGGAATAACACACACCAGTGGTTATGCCTGACAGCAGGCACAGTGTTGGTGTGTGATACTGGGTACTAGCTCTGCCACCTGATTGCGTGTGCCTCTGTTCCTCCCTGCCACTCTTGAAGATTCCTGTCTGAGCACTAACAGGGATGAGAGACCACTCGGTACCCATTCCCATTGGGCTTATCCCGAGCCAGGGCAGGGGGGAGGCTACTGGCCCACCTGCTCGTAGGCAGGTTAGGTAGCTAAAACACAGCAACCGAAGAGGAATGGTGCCTCATGCCATCGGGGTGAGGCAGTGAACGGCAGAACAGGTTGGTCCGCTCAGATCCAGGCATCTTCACTCAGCAAAGCTCTAGTGTTGTGTCTCCTACACCTGCATTCAGCTTTTTTTCAGCCAGTGGGATGGATTTGCACCACTGCTCTTTACCCACATCCAAGTCAGGAATATATCCAGCTAAGACGTATGAAATCTGGCTTTATCCTTCTATCTGGGGTTATTTCTGCTGAGGATGCAGGTGCCCAGATCCTGCAACCAGCAGTCTCAGAGCAACACACCTGGTGATGGACAAGCTATTTTGCAGGGCACAGCTGAATGCTGTGTCATGGAGTGGGGAGGGCACTGGTGTTGGGCAGACATGTGGGCTGAGGGCCAGGAGGTGTGACTGCAGTCCCAAACATCCAAGCCTAGACCTGCTCTGGCTGGTTAGACTGACCCGAGGGCTTAGGCCAGGGTGTTGCCGGCCCTCCAAGGCGCGGGAGCAGGTTCGGCGGGTCTGGAAACCCTCGGTTCCCACCACTGGGGCTCGCGTCCCTCCAGCCTCCCACGCTGGGTGTGGGTGGGACAGCCTTGCTCCATGAGTCCGGGAGAGGCTTGCCCTTGCACGGGCAAGGGACAGCTGAGGCTGGCTGCTTTGGCCCGTGTTTTGGCTGTGCAGTTGAGCATGCTCTGGTCTAGTTGTTTAGGATGGAGTGTGGCAGGTTTGTGCAAGAGGAGGTGGACATTTTGAGATATCGACCCCCAGGTAGAAATGTGGTTGTGTTCAACATCCAAAGAGTGGCACTTGTGGTTTTCTAACTGTGCTTGAGCAGAAGGAAAAGTTTTGTTTGGTCTTGAGTGTGTGTGGGATTCCTGGGGGAGCACTCTTGCTGTCTCGACTATGTCTTGATGTGACTAAATCTCAACCTGTTTTTTGTTACCACTATGACCAGCCACCCCCTTGTTCTTCCAGTGATCCGGGACATGGTGGCAGGTCTTGCCAATAAGACGTCATCACAGCCTCTAGCTCTTCTTTTCGGGGGTCTGCAGACAAATCTCTTGGAAAAAAAGGGATGGAAGCAAGTTGTCACATGTGTCAGCTGGGAATAGAAACTGATGCTCCAGGGCAGCACATTGAACTTCCTTAATTTTGGGTCCTTTCACTTCTTGCCTCCTTGCAGGTGGTGGTTGCTTCTCGGTGAAAGAAGGAGGGTCCCCACTACAAGCCCTGAAACACCCCCTGAGCTTTCTTGGAGGCTGCCCTGGTGCCTGGAGCTATGTCTGGGGGGTGGGTTATCTCCTGCAGGCCCTGGCCACCAGCCTGGCCCTAACAGCATGTTTCACAGCTATGGCAAAGCAAAGTTTCAGTTCCCAAAGAGCTGCCGGAGACCCCATCACCCCTGGAGATGCTGGTGGCATATTGTCCTCCCCCATCCTGTCTTGCAGCCCTACCCGACCCATTGTGGATCTTCATCTTCTATTCTGGGCTCTCTGTGAGCTTGGCTGCCAGACCCCTGGAGCAGATCTCTGCCTGGCAGTGGGGCAGGCATGGCTTTCTGCTCCATGTCAGGGCAGATATTCCTTGAAGTACTCAAAGCTGCACTTCCCCCTCTAGTCAGCACAGTCTCTAACACGACAAGATCTCAGAGCCCGGTGCTGAAATTGAGAGAAACATTTCTAACCTGTAAAACAGAGTCACTCTTGGTTTAGTTTGTTGTTTTCCCCCCTCCCCTCCCTAGATGTTTCAGTTGTTTTGGCCAAAATCCCCACTGCTGCCTCTCGGTGTGATCAAGCCAATGCGGGGTGCAGTGAAGCTGGGGCTCTGCCGAGCCCAGGGTGCTGCCGCAGTCCCGGCCGCTGTCCCACGGCGTGCGCCGGCGGGAGGGCCCCACCACGAGCCGCGTGCTGGCATTGCCACTTTAAGAGCCATCTTCGCCGGGAGAGCTTTCGAACCTCTCCCCTGCGTCGCCATTGGCAGGCGCGGGCGCGCGGGGGCCAGCCGGCGGTTGGAGCGGCCGGCGGGGCGCCCTGATTGGCCGGGGCGGGGGCAGTATAAAATGTCGCAGGGCGCGTGGGCTCGCCTCAGTCGGCGGCGCGAAGGAGCAGCGTGGGGAGCGTGGGCAGCTGGGAGGACGGGCGGCGACGGGAGGTTTGGCGCGCCTTCCGCACGGCTTCACCTCAGCCCGGTGGTCCCATCGCCCCCTGCCCGCTATGGAGTTCAAGCTGGAGGCGCACCGCATCGTCAGTATCTCGCTCGGCAAGATCTACAGCGCGCGGGGCCAGCGCGGCGGCCTCAAGCTCCACAAGAACCTCCTGGTGTCGCTGGTGCTGCGCAGCGCCCGGCAGGTTTACCTGAGCGAGCCGGGCTGCCCTCCTGAGCCGCCCCCCGTCGCCTGCGGGTCCCCCGAGGACGAGCAGCCGCCCTGCGCCACTGTCTGGGCGGCCGGCGAGGCGCCGCCGTCGCCGCAGGACGAAGCGGATCGGGGCGGCTCACGGCTGCCCTGCGCGGACTGTGAGGGCCCCCGGCCGCGGCGCTGTAGCTGCGGCTGTAGCTGCTGCTGCGCGGCGGCGGGCGGCGAGGCTAACCGCTCGGATTGCGCCGCTGAGGCCGCGGCCCCCCCGCCTCCTCACTGCCCCCGGAAGCGCAGCGCCGGCGAGCGGGGCCAGGCGGGCTCCCCAGTAAAGAAACCCCGCCGCGAGGTGGAGGAGGAGCCGCCGCCTGGCGAGCAGGAGGACATGGAGACAGGCAACGTCGCCAGCCTTATCAGCATCTTCGGCTCCAGCTTCTCGGGACTGCTCAGTAAGGAGCCCAAGGGCCGACGGCGGGCGCCCCTTGACGGCGGCGAGGCGACGGCGACCACGACACCCACCGACGCGGCGGCCGAGCCGGGACAGATTTGCTGCGACGAGCCGGTGCTGCGGACCCTCAACCCCTGGAGCACGGCCATCGTGGCCTTTTGACGCGCGGGCCGCAGAGACTGGCCCTCCGCCGCGGGGATGGGGACCCTGCTGGACGGACGGGCAGCTGGACAGAGAGGTGATATCCCCCGCACCCACGGCCCGGCGGAGGAGGGCGGGCAGCGCCGCGGGAATTCGGCGCCGGCGAGTCCCGGCGCGTTGCCGGGGCTCACGGGAAGGGCCGCGGGGCAGGGGCGGCAGCAGCAGCAGCACTTCCCCGCCAGCAAGCTGGGTCCCGTCTGCCGGTATCCGCCCTGGAAGCGCCCTCGGCCCTGCCCTCCCGGAATTCCCCTTCCCGGCCGGGCCGCCGCCCTGCCCGGCGCCCCTGGGCGGCTCTGCCGCAGCTGCCGACACCGGGGGCGCACCCACCGGGTAGTATTTTAAGCTTGGAAAGTATTAAGTTTATTAAATAAAGTCTCTATTTTGGGAAGGTTTAGGTCAGAACTATTACGTGGTGCTTTTTAAAAGTGTTTTATTGAGAGAAACGAAGTTTACAGACGCTCTGACGGCAAGTCCTTGAGCCTGTTTGTTAGGCTTGGTAACTCCTGGTCTTTGTTGTATAAAGGCTTGGGGCTCCCGTAGGGATTTTGTACAGTGTTTTCCTTCAGTGATGTATCTTATTTTGTATAAAATGTAATTCTACGTGTACAACACGTATTAAATATTTTCAACTGTACAAGCCTCGTCCTCGTGTGTGCCCCCGCTCGGCTCGGGGGGAGGAGGTCGCCGGGAGCCAGGCAGGCAGCAGCCAGGGTGTGGTTGCTGCGTGTCTGTGGCTGGATCCACCCTGCTTCGCCAGAGGCTCAGGTGGGTTGGAGTCCAGCTCCTCCGGGAAGAAAGGGAAGTTCTCTCTGGGCGACTGGAGTTCTTCCCAGGATCTTCCAGGTGCTCTCCCTGCACCTCCAGCTGCAGGTTCTTCACGGGGCTGGGGCTGCTGTGGCATTTGAGGTCTTGTTCATGAAGTATCTGATGTGCAGAGTCACGCTCCGTGGGTGGGAAGCGGTTGCTAAATCCCGGCAGAGCAGCTGCGCGCAGCCTGGCCCCGTGCTGTGGAGGGGCCGGGGGCCGGACTCCTGCTTTGCCTGGCCGGAGGTCCAGGCTGGGGGCGTGTGAGTGGATCTTCCCGGACATGGGCTGTGCTCCCGCCCCCTACTGCTCTGCCAGAAGTGTTTTTCAGTGCCTCCTCCTTGCTGTTACTTGTGCAATACTTAAAGTGATGAGTATCAGGGCTGCCTTTTTTTTTTTATTATTTTTTTTTCTTTATCTGTAAAGATGTAACTGGGTTAAAGTTCCTGCTCTTAGGGGTGGGGAGAAAAGTTTGGTCTCTGCTTCACAGTGACTGGAGTGCCCTAAGGCCTTGTAATTAAGACTGAATTGTGGAATTATATTTTTTCCCCTTCTTGCTGGGAGATTCACTAGAGGCGTTTCTGCTCCTAATTAATGAACTTTTCAACTGAGGACTGCATTTCTTGTGAGTCAAGGAAAATGCTTGTGTGCTGTGAAGAGCAGCGTGGGATATCTAGCTGAACCTCAGGGAGCTGGCTCAGGCAGGAACAGCGTGGAAGATGAGCAATGACCAGTGTGAATCTCCTTGCTCTTAGCTTTCTCTGGTGTGGCTGACATAGATGTGTCAGGAGGCACCAAGGCCCCTATGTGGGGCCCTGGATTTATGGGCTGGGGGCTTTACATGTTTCAGTGAGAACTGGAGAGGTGAGGCTTGGTCCTCTCTTAAGTCCTAAGAAGGCAGCAAGGGCAGGACTTGCGGTGGAGGGGAAGCTGCCTGGTCTGGAGGGCTTAGAGGGATCTCTGCTAGTATTTGTGTAAATTGGTAGCTCCCTATTCTCACATAAAAGTGAAAGTCCCACCATCTTAATTGTATTGATAATTACACTTAATGGTGACAGACAACTTTAGCTTGGTAGACAGCACCAAGAAAATGACATGCGATGAGACATTTCTTTCTACATTATGACCTCTGGGAGGTAACAGGAACGACCTGTCCCTGCTTCACTTGTGCAGGTGCTCTCCAAGAGAGCCCAGGAGTTCAGCAGCATGGTTGTGGAACAGGAGATGAAGTCACCTCCCAGACCTTCCTGGGAGGAGAAGGAAGTTGGCTACAGAGGACTTTCCTTCCAGCTCTCCTGCTCCCTTGCAGGACATCCTGCTGGGAGGGCACAGGTTGCTCTTAGTCAGAAGCTGGGCTGCGAGGTGGGAATGGCCTGCTGCTCCCGTGTAAACACAGCTTCCTTCCCAAGAGAGGGGAGGGAGAGCTTCAGTCCTACTCCTTGTTCCCCAACAGTATCTCTGTGGAAGTGAATGGTTTTGCCCAGGGCTTGCAGTCAGCTTCTGAGTGCTGGAATGGGGTGGGGGCACTGCTCTTGGCTGTTAGAGGGTTGATCAGGAGCATCTTGGCAAACCTCAAAGCTTTCAGGGCACCCAGCTGCTTTTCAAGCATCTGGTCTGGTTGATTTACATGGTTCTGGTGTCCCCCTGCAGACAAGACCCAGCCTCCCCTTGGCACAAATCACCACCAGTGCTCTATCTCTTCTATCTTCCAGAGGAGTTGTGCAACAGCATAATTGCTGTTGGCCTCTGAAAATGCAGCAAAGACGACTCAGAGGTGCCAGTGCAGCTCCCTCTGGCTTGTGTGACCTCTCCACGGAGCTATCTGAGGTGAGCAAGCTTGCGTATTGGCAGATGACCACAGTGCCATGTCCTTAAAAGACCCGGTTCAGCTCCATTGGCTGCTGGAGCCACCTCTGCTATGCCAGTGCAGATATGTTGCTTGTTCCTGTTGCTGTGTTTTCCTAACATGTGGGGTTTGCTCCCTGGAATGTGTGTATCCTCAGGGAGACACAGGAAAAAATAACCAAGGCACGATAGTTGCCAGTGAGCTTCGGGGTGTCACAGAGGAGTCCTCACTCTACTGGAGAATGAGTCTCCAATCGAAAAAGACACATAATGATGATCCTGTGTTCCATTTGGTATCAACTTTTCTGCTCTTTGTTTTGTTTTGTTCTTCCTCGGTGTCTTTCTTTTTTATTCCTATAATCACTTTTACCTAAGTGAGGTCTGTTTTCCTTACTTCATCTGTCCTGTCATGCTGTTTTGATCCCTGGACTTTTCGTTCTGCTCTTGGTGCTGCCTTTAGGTTGCTGCAGAGGTGAGGTGATGGGATGGGACAGCTGAGCAAGGAAGGTGGAATGATCTTGAGGAGAGGCTGATGACCCAAATCTGCTGCCTGGGCCAACACTGACGGAGGGAAGAGAAGTGCTTAAATAAACCAGATAAAAATAAAAGCTTCCATCACTTGGAAGAGAGGGCAACTCCTATGGAAACTGCCTCACTGGGTCAGGGAGGATATGACTTAATGGCAAGATGGCAGCATCCTCACCTTCCTATAATAGCAATGAGCTGTTGGAAGTGCTCACCTAGCCAGCTGCTTTTTTCCAGCTCAGATCAGGTCCTCTGAGAGCCTGGTAGGGGAGAGGAGTTGGGAAGATCCTTTAGTGCAGCTGAAGGGTGGGATATATATGCCGGTGGAGGGGCAATGGGAGCCAGGAGCCAAGGCAGCCAGGCTGCCTGGTCAGGGCTCAGGGGAGGAGAGTGAGTGGCAGCCTTTTGCTTTTTTCCTGCTGTAATCGGCACGGAGTGACTGTGGGGTGGATTAGCAGCAGCTCTCTCTCCTCAGGGATACCTTCCGGAGACAGGGAATGATTTAAAACTGGCTGTTGCCAATTGTTAATGGTGTGAGTTGCCTCGGCCGTTAAGGGTACAGCCGGCTGTACCTGTGTGCCAGGACCGGCGCCAGCCAGAGGAAGCCTGCGGGGCTGGGAGGCGATGGGCAGCGAGGGGTCGGGGCTCGCAAGAGGCTCCGGATTTCACTCCGGATGCTCCCCCCTGGCTTGATGTGACCCAGTATTACCGCCCGTCCCTCCTGTCCCGGGGCAGGGGAAGGGGAGGAAGGCCCCACACACTCATTGCTGCAGCATCCTGTGTCAGCGCTCAGGAATCTGGAGAGCTGCTGGGAGGGAGGAGGGAGGGAGGCCAGCGCTGCGGGGCTGCGCCTGACGGGGCCTCTCCCGCCTGGGAGCTGGAGGCACCGGAGCAGCCCTGGGGGCGCATGCTTTGCCAAGGTCTAAACCCCAGGGCATGGGGTTTTGCGGGGGAGGGAGAGGTGCAGAAGCCTTGTGTCGCAGGACTTCTTGCTTAAATGATGGCTCAAAAGGCTGATGAGGCACGTCTGGATCCCTGCCTGCTCTCACGCCGCTGCAGGGCTTGCATCTGTCTCCAATGTACTGTGCTTGCAGCGATGCTCTGCCAGTATTTATTTAGGGTGGGTGGAGGGAGCCCCCTACCCGGTCCCCTGTGGGCTGGGGAGCACTTGCAGTGGAGTGGGGGCTCGTCGCCGCTCTCCCTGGGCAGGGTGCTCCCATCCCAAGGGGAGGCGAGCAGGGGCAGAGGCAAGGCACTGAAGCTTGCCGGCAGGGCTGAGCCAGCTGGCCAGGCTCGCAAAAAACCCCGGGGTTTCTTCCAAGGAGCATCCAAGCACTTTTGCCAGGCTGAAGCAGGGCAGAGAGGGGGGTCAGCGCTGAGAGGGGGTGGCTGGCGGTGGGAGAAGCTGGCTGGAAGGTGCATGGAGGGACCCCAACGGAGGAGAGCTGTGCCAGGCCAGCACAGGTCCTGGAGGCAGGGTCAGCGCCAGGCGAGTGCTGGGATATGGTGACAAACACAAACAATTCTGTTCTGGTCTTCTGGTTGTGATTTCTGCTCCCGAAGTGCAAACCCCGCAGGGCCCCCCTCTTCTCCTTCTCCCCAGCTGGGCAAGAGCTGGCCTGGCTGCGGTAATGAAATGCAGAGCTGCTAGGGGGAGCGGGGTGGAGGGGGAAAAAAAGCTCTGTTTGAGGTTTTGTGCCTCCGGTTTCCTCTGGCCCACCCTCCCAGCGGGGTGATTTGTTGGTGATGGAGCCTGGGGAGAGGGGGAGGGAAAGGCTTAGAGCTGCAGGCAAATAGTCATCATGTATTTCCCAGGCAGTCACACAAGGTAGAGGGGAAAACTGGATGAGGGGTAGATAAATTGCCTGGGGAAGGCCCGTAGAGCATCATTTGCTGGACCTGAGCTCTCCTGACCTTGTCCTGGGTGCTCAGGGATGGCATTGAGCGCTTTGCGCTCCAAGGGACTGGCTTTGTGGTGGATGCACTCTCCTGCCATCCCAGTTTCCCCACCTTCCCTCCATCCCAGCTTCCCTGCCCCGTGGGCAGTGGAGTGCTGAGACCTGCCTGCAGGCATCTGTTCCATGACTGACCGGCTCTTGTGGCCCAGCCCAGCCTGCAGGGCTTGCTTCTCTGGTGCAGGCAAGGGTTGTGATTCATCTTTTCTCCCTTTCCTGAGCAACAGCCAAGGAAGACATCCAGACCTTCCCCAGGCTGCTGGAGAAGTGGAGGTACTGGCTGCTGCTGACCTGTTTTTGGGTACCTGTGTGGAGCAGCTGTGCTGCTGGAGGGACTGCCAGGCTGCAGATGCATTTGCTGCCTGCAGGTACTTCAGCTCAGCTTTTCCCTTAAGCCAGGCTTTAGGTTCTGCTGTGCTCTGGCAGTGCCATCAGTGAGCTCCCCTCCTGTGTGGGGTGCTTCGGTGTTCTGTGGCTTTGCAGGGTGACCTCCAGCTTGGGAGAAGCA